GTAGGGAAAATACTTGAAAATGATTTAGACCAGGTGTATTATGCATAAACTATACAAATCCAAACCACATCAATACCTTCAAAGGGGAACAGAAAAAAAAACAAATGTTTACTGCTAACTCAGAAATGCTATTTTGAGACGTTATCACAGATCTTTCAGGAAAAGTTTAATGTTGTAAACGACACACGAAATACGCAATGCAGGAAAACAGTAATCAAGTGCTGAGTCATCACCTTTCTCCAAGGACCTACTTGTGGAGCCTCAGATGGTGTGCCTTCGACCTACAAAAATATCCCGAGCCTTGATGAGACAAACTGACGAGGAGAATATAAACATTCTGAATCAAATTCGAACACCTTTAATCTGTGGCTTATGTAAAATTTATTCAATTTGAAAGCTTGGAAAAGATTTATCAAAATAAACAAGTTTGTGCCATGCCTTAAGCAGTCTAATGACAAGGCTTTGAATTTCTATGTACACTACTTACCTCAGGGAACTTCTCGAAATTCTGTGTGTCTAACTCTCCGTTGACTGTGGGTTTATATGCTGCTTCCATTTCATACAGTTTCTCCCATTGTACACCTTTAAACCAAGGATGAGCCTGAAACATGTAAAATCGTGGCAATGTGACTTCAGGGTCCAAGGAAATAAGGGGAAAGATGATGAAATGCGTAGTTTAGCAATGAATCAATGCATATCCACGGGAGAAATTTCACCTTTATTTCCTCGACACCTCTGGTACCCAATCTTGAGTCAACATCACACAGCAAGCGACAAACTAAGTCCCTGGCTTCATCTGATATTTTCGGTTCCTCGGGGAATTTCAAGCACACTCTCCAGTTAATTATCTGACATAAGAAGCATAATCCATTAAGCAAAACGAGAAATGCTATTAGAATAAGTAACAATTAATGACCAGCCCACTATATACCTTGCGGCATGTTATACGAGGATCATCAGAACAGAACGGAGGATAGCCTATTAGCATCTCATATAAGATTGCTCCAAGAGACCACCAGTCACACTCCATTCCATACCCTTTCTTTAGCAGTACTTCGGGTGCCATGTAATCAAGAGTTCCAACGGTTGAATAGGCCTACAGATATCATAGATCAGATAATCAAGCAAAGTTGATGACCCAAGATATGGTGGATCTGGTAGTTGATCTTCAAAGAGCTAAAAAAATAAGAAGCAAAACAAATGCTTCTTGGCTTCATATGGCGTAAACCATGAGGTTCAATGAAAAATGAAATTCAATACCAATGCACGGCGATTGCGTTTCCATTGCTGTAACTGTTCTTTAGGCATTTGCCAGGGTGCTTGGTTAGAATCTGCTTTTCCTGATTGGCTTTCTGAATCCTGAGACATCATTTCTTCATCTTCCAACAGTATTGAAGAATACTTTTCATCCAGGGGCTTACATAATCCAAAGTCTGAAAGCTTCAAATGCCCATTTTTGTCTAGTATCAAGTTATCTGGCTTGATATCCCTACACTCAAAAAGAAAAGAAAAGAAAATAAGAACCGAATAAACTGTGTATGTTCTGTTATGTTTGCAGGAAGTATTGAACCTATAACAGTATATTGGAATTCATGAGACATAAAGCACCTATGTCTCTCCTACAGCCTCAGCAACTAAGCATACCAATATGATGCAGCAGTAATACCTATGTACATAGCTGTGTTGGTGGATTGAATGAATAGCCATAATACTCTCCGCGATGTAAAAGCGGGCAACTTCTTCAGAAAGAATGTCTTCTCTCATTAGTAAAGTCATGATGTCACCGCCAGGTAAATACTCCATAATAAGATACAAAAATTCTGAATCTTGAAACGAGTAAAAGAGCTTTACAATACAGCGACTGTCAACCTCCACTAGTAAATTCCTCTCAGATCTGACATGTTCAACCTAGGACAAGAAAGACAGCAAGAGTTATTACTTGATTGATTTGAGAATGATCCTGAAAAAGTGACGAAAATGATCCTATAACTCATTGGTGGTAAACATCACTTAGTGCAGCCCTCCAAAACAGATAAGCAGAAATCGAAGGTATTGAAAAAGCATGATACTGAGCATCAATTTACGCCCATTATAACAAGTTAAGAGAAGCATCACAAACATTTTACAATTCCTTTGTTTACCTAAATGTAGTTACTGCAATCTAAACAGAACTGGTATGCATAAAGCACACAATCTTATATTATATCTAGATTATGAGGGAACTTCTGTTAAAATGTACTCACCTGTCCACGGCTAAGCATTTCAGATTTTTTCAATTTCTTCATGGCAAAAACTTCACCACTGGATTTCAAACGGCACAATCGAACCTGAAGTATTTTGAAACACAATTAGAGTGGATAAACATTGAATAAGAGAGGAAATTGATAAACTGATTTCCTCAAGAAAACTAATAGCAAAATTCAGATAATAACCATAAGGCTAAGTGATCTCAGATGGCATATCCGCATATCACCATAGGATATATAAACCATGAAGAAATCAAACAATAAATAGTACACGCACGGCCCCCCATGCACGCACAAAAACGTTAACGGGACAATTCATGTAACTTTGTTAACTAAGCTGCTTGGATCAAAGATTATCAGAGATGGAGAATGCCAAAGTCTTTCGCATACCTCACCAAAGGCACCTTTACCAATAATGGTAAGCGGCTCGAAGTCATCTATCCCTATTTTACGTCTCTGCAGCCTCATGTACTCAGTCTCACGACGTGCCAGATTCCTCATCATCTCCTCTTGTTCCTCGGTTGGTATTTGAGCTTCTTGTACTTTTCTCTGAAGTTCCCTACGTCTGCAACACACAATTCAAGCACAGAAAACATGACACGAACTCACTGGCAAGTGCACTCGATCCGTCTCTGCATCTAATTTACATCTAAATCAATGGAAACAATTAAGCAATCAACACGACGGAATCCCTGAGGTCAAACCCAAGTCAAACACACATCTACCCAAATTCCACATAATTTGATGTAAAAATAAACAAGGCTAAATCAGGATCAAACTAATATCGATGTCACCGGTATCACAAACGATCAGATTCAAGTATTCCAGCCACGAATCTAGAACGCAGAAAAAGAGAATTTCGAAGCCGAACCTCTCCATGCGATCGTGCAAACCTTGCAAGTAATTCTTGTAATGATTCTCAATGAACTGCTTCGCAGCCGCAGCTTTTTGCCTCGTCACCGGCGAAGAAACCCCCAAATCCGGCTCCAAATCGAATCCACGACCAGGCTTGGGGTTCATTGCTCCGACACGCATGGTTCCATCAGCGCCGTCCATTTCGACTAAATTCGAAAAAGAAAGAAAGAAAATCGTCGAACGATCAGAGGAGTGAGAGACTTTAGAGATCCATGGAAATGGGGTTTCGAGGAGAGATCTGAAGAGGAGGAGGAAGACGAAGAACGTGCGTTGTTTGGGAGGGGATGAACTGGCAAGAAAAAATTATGCAAAGCTGTCTCTTGTATGGTTTGGGTTTGGGGATTAATTAAATGTCTCCTGGTCTGAGTAATTAATTAAATAACTTATTTAATAATAATAATAATATTTATTATTGTTATTATTAAATAAATTATTTAATTGAGTGCGATGGAAGTTAATGTTTTCTAACTTTTAATTTTTAGTTTTAGTTTTAAAACTTTTGACTGAAATTCCGAGGCGAATTTTATCCCTACTTTGACTGTCGCGAAAAATTAGCATTTCAGGCTTTACATTTTTTAAAACACGGAGAAAATCTCATATAATACCTTAATTTTATAAAATATACTAAATAAATAATTAAACTTTTAATATAATCTAGAAAAATGTTCTAAATTTAACTTAAATATTTTCAACAGATATCTATGACCCTAAAAAAATTTACAAGATATACTCTAAAATATCCAACACAAACATTTGGAGTATTTCACATATCTAAGATACCTCAATCTATTAGACTACAAAGAAAATATAAATACTTAAACATCAATTTACATTTAAAAAAAAAATGTAGAGGAACAAGAAAAAACCCATGCTATTAAATTACCAAACTACAAAAGTAAAATATACAAAAAAGAGAAAATAAATTAAACGGAGAGGTGCAATGCACTCACCACGTAGAACTCACGGGCTTTTAAGAACAAACATATCATGCCGCTTGAAGCTGCCTTTCTGAACTGAACATCCGTCTTTCGTCAGCTCTACTATCCCTGCTTCTCCGATGCTAACAACGGGGTTTCGTTGATCTGAACACCGCTTTCGCAGCTGCTGCAATCCCCGGGTTCATTCACCGTCTTCTCTGTTAGCTTCTCCTTTCTTTCTTCCCTCTCCGACCTTTCGGGTTCTCGTGCAGTTCTACGGTCCTGAGAAACTAAAACATGTTAGCTCGCAATACAATTGGTCTAGTGTGGGTCCGTAAACCTATGAAAATCTAACCTCCCGGTAAGGGAAGTCATCGGCTTCAAGCATGTGTATGACATGACCCATCTTCGGCCTCTTCTGGGCATTAGGGTCGACACAACGAAGAGCCACTAAGAGGATACGCTTCAATGCCCTTGATGAAGGCTTCTCTTGCATTCTTGGATCAAGAACTCCCTCTGCACATCGGTTTGTGACCATTCTCTTCAACCATTCCACTAGATTTACCTGAGCATTTGATTGGACAACGAATTCATATCAGATGTAAGATTAAGGTTACAATGTCGATGTTCATTCCAACAGCGAAAGCTAACCTCGCCTGGAGGACGACTATAATCGACAGGATTCCTCCCAGATATTATTTCCATAATGAGTATACCAAAACTGTACACATCGCTCCTCTCGTTTAACATGCCGGTACTAGCATACTCAGGAGCCACATACCTATATAGGGAAACCTGAACGGAATCAGTTCCGAGATATCACAAGGGAAATAGATTCATTCAAAAAAACAGTGAAGAAAGGATACGGAAACAACACTGACCCAAAGGTTCCCATTACACGTGTGGTCACGTAGCTTCTTTCTGAATTTAAGAGCTTAGCTAGGCCAAAGTCTGAAACTTTCGGATTCCATAACTTGTCAAGCAAAATATTGCTTGATTTGATATCACGATGGACGACTTTCGGCTCTAGGCCCTCGTGCAGGTACGTCAACCTTCATATACCACTAATCAGTCAATGTGTGCAATAGCTTGGAGGAAACAAAGCGATGAATTCAAAGCATATTCTCTTCTACAACAAACCCTTTAGCTGTCCCAAGAATTATATTCATCCGAATCTCCCACGTGAGAGGGCTCTTTGGCCCAACATCGCCATGAAGCCATTGCTCTAGATTCCCATTGTCAACATACTCATAAACGAGCATTCTGCACCATCGAAACAAAATAACATCTACATTTAACATTAAGTGAACAAATACGCTAAATTTCAAAGCATCAGAGAAATCTCTTACGGATAAAGCTCATACCTATGAGCTCCTTCAGCACAGTAACCAAGCAACCTCACAAGATTCTTGTGTCTCACTCGTCCAATTGCTTCAACCTCAACTTTGAACTCCTTCTCAGCTTGTCCCCTGCAAGAAAACAAACAAACCAACATTGGTATACATGCAACAACCAAAATCTAGAGAAACCTAGTCCTTAGCCTCGAATTCTTCTCAACTCGCCACTAGAAAGTACACGCAAAACAGCAATGAAGCTAATAGAAAAGAAACTAAGGAAGATTGTCTCTTAACCTGTTGTTAAGCAAATTCTTTATAGCAATCTGAGAATTATCCGCAAGAACACCTCGGTACACAATTCCATATCCACCTTCACCGATTACGTTCTCATCAGCAAAACCACTAGTAGAAAGCTCGAGCTCTCTCAGAGTGTACCAATGGCCCCACCCCAGATGAGAAACCTCAGGACCGGCCATGGAAAGACCTTGATCACCCGATCCACTTCCATGAGACGACCCGCCACATCGTTCCGGGTAAGAAATCCAATGATCCTTTCCGATTTCAATGTGAATTCTACTTCGACCACCAACGGGACTGTTCTCTCCTTCGCGAACGGGGTGGTGCGTCTCCGGGAACGGGTCCGGTGGGTGAGGATTTGATGGGTCGACCAGAATTTCCTGGATTTCCTTGGAAACATTAGGGATTATGACGTTGTTGGGCTTGGAAGATGAAACTAGAGCCGTCGACGACGAGGACGAGGTCTTGTTGCTACGTCTGGAGATGAACCAGAGGGAGATGAGGAAGAGGACGAGGACGATGGCGGCACCGACGCAGATGCCGAGGACGACCCACAAACGCAATCCGAAAATGGAAGTGTGTTTCGAGAGCTGATCGTTAAGGAACGAGTAATTCGCCATCGATGAAACCCCTCCTCCTGGCCGTCTTCCTTGGTCCTCTCCGCTCTTTAGGCGTGCTCTGTTTCTTCTTCTGCTTCACATGTCAGAGATTGTGGAGTTGCGAGAGTGATGTTCTCGGCGAGAGAGAGAGAGGGAGGCAGCTGGCGACGATGGGACGTGTACTCAGAGCAAATGCCCCACACTCTTGCTCAATGTTTTTCGAAAATCGATCCGTCGTGGACTCTGGGTTTATCCATAATAATCGATCCTTAATTTACCCTTTCTATTATTTTCTGTCTGGGTTTTGTCGGCGCGGATTGTTTATTTGTGGACCTGCTCTCTTCCTTTGGGCCGGAATGGACTCGCCGGAGAACCCAAGATCAACCCAAAGATCTATAGGTCGGTCAGGTTCCATCTGAGCCTTTTGTATAAATTCGGGCTGAGCTTCAAAATTATAAATGATAAATAGAAAAACACGACTCTAAAATAAATTTCAGTACATATTCGAGATCGGTAATAAAAAATTCCATAACAAAAATTCAATAGTAGTTAAAGAGAAATTAAAGTTTGAATTCTCATATCATATTAAATTTTCTTTAAATATTAAATTATTATATTTTTCTATATTAATAATTATATGGCACTATATTTTTCGATTCTCCAATGTTGGTTTTGGATCCATAAACGTTTTGGTTATAGATTGTCCAACGGGGTAGTTCGGATAAAATTTCTCATACGAAGACGTTTCTCATGTTTTTTTTTTCTTTCTAAATGTACATATTCAAGTATATATATAATAGAAATTAATCTCTACAAAACAAAATAAAAAAAAATATATTATAAGAATTATGACAACTTTTAATTCGATTTCGGAAAGCTTATGCTTTACGTAATTATCTTTTTTCCTACTCCAAAATTTTAAAAAGACTTTATTCCTCACTTCAAAAATAATCAGGTTGTTTCCCAAAAAGACCAAAAATAGAATTTTTTTTAATCACTATTTCGTTAATGATTTGATTTCTCACATAGGTATAAAGGGAAAGGATGTATATATATATATATATATATATATATATATATATACTTGAAGCAGCATTTGTAAAGCCATTCCCCAGAGGTATATTTCAGCTTTCATCTCAATATTTGGTACATACATTTTCTAATCTCTGCACATTATATTCTTTTCTTTCATTTTTGTTTCATTACATTTATATTTAAAACTTATTTATTGTTTTGATGATTTTATCTTAGTACAAAAATAACAAAATAAAAAAATTCATCTTTATTATATAGTAAAAGAATTTGTAATATAACATCTTGGGCAACTAAATGCAACGACTATATATATATATATATATATATAATAGCAAATCTATTTTATTAGGGTGGAAATTAGGATAAAGAAGAAACGTGGTCTTGCATAGAAAGCGAGAGAGAAGGGGAGAACACAAGTTAACTTGCATGGCGAAGGAACAAAAATAGTTTAAACTTGGTATTAATTAGGTTTTTTAAATTTAAAAAAAAAACGAGATTTAGTTTTTTTTATAAAAAAAATTTTTTTGACTCACTCACTCTCACACAAACACTTGACGTTCGGGCATCCATTGGTTTCTTAAGCTCTCCTTATCTCTCTCTCTCTCTCTCTTCCCCACACCACCACCAATTAATACTCCAAACTCATAACACACATTTACTACGGTCAAACTCGTGAAACAAACAAAGTTCCCAGCTTTTGAACAATTCCAATCCCAAATCCATTGAATTCGAGTGTTTATTTATGCGCGGTGTTTGAATGGCCCTAGTCGTTGGACAACAGCATCAACAACAACAGGGAACACAACAACAACAACACAAGCATCACTGCCGGATTTGCAAGAAAGGGTTCGGGTGCGGCCGGGCGTTGGGAGGTCACATGAGGGCGCATGGGATTAGCGACGACAGTGCGCTCGTGGACGAGGACGAGGATGACAACACGAGCGATTGGGAAGGGGGAGACGTTGTCCCGAGCGAGAACAAACGCATGTATGCGCTTCGGACAAACCCTAATAGGCTCAAGAGTTGCCGCGTCTGTGAAAACTGCGGCAAAGAGTTCTCCTCGTGGAAGTCTTTTCTTGAACACGGAAAATGCGCATCAGATGATGCCGAATCATTGGTTTCGTCTCCTGCGTCTTACGATATTGAAGATGGCCTCCCTACGAGAGGGTACGGACACAATTGGTCTAAAAGGAAACGATCTTTTAGGGCTAAAGTTGGCAACGTTTTCAGTACGAATTGCCCTTCAACCGAGGAGGAATACCTCGCACATTGTCTCATGATGCTATCTAACGGTACGGTTGATCCGTTTGTTCTTCCCGAGCCCGAAGAATCTTGTGCCTCCGCTAGCAGAGACGAAGATAGAAGGCAATCTTTGAATTACATGGCTTCTATTAATAATCCGTACAGCCATAGTTACAAGACGCCGACTCTTTCAGAGAAGCCGAGAGTAGTTGCTTCGAAGGGGATATTCGAGTGCAAGGCTTGCAAGAAAGTGTTTAATTCCCATCAAGCACTCGGTGGGCACAGAGCAAGTCACAAAAAGGTTAAAGGTTGCTTCGCGGCTAAGACAGATCACACCGATGTCGTTATAGGGGACAGGGATCACGGTATTATGAGCGCACAAAACGAGTTTTTTCAAATGAAATCGCATTCGACGTTTCGGTCTGACCACGAAGGAGGATCTTCTTCGTCCAAGAAGAAGGGAAAAGTGCATGAGTGCTCTATATGTCACCGCGTGTTTTCCTCAGGACAAGCGCTCGGGGGACACAAAAGGTGTCACTGGATCACATCGAACAATTCATCGGATCACGCGGCATCCGCTTCGTTCGCCAAGTTCGGTAAGAATCAACCTCATCTTGATCACGTCGGAGATACGACGAGAAACTTGTTCAAGAAGTCCGACACGCTTAACCTTTCACTAGACCTCAACTTTCCAGCTCCTCCAGACGACAAGTCGGATTTAAAAAACCGAGTTTCGCGAGATATCCTCCTGTTACCTTGGCTAGGAGTTGACGGTAACCGAAACGAAGGAGACAATATTATGGAGGATACATCGAAGATCATGTCAGACGATGAAACAGATGTAAAGGCAAAGTTTGCAAAGCTAAGCGAACTCAAAGACGTGAGTACAAGTGAAAGTTCGTCTCAGTGGTTGCAGGTAGGCATTGGGTCCACATCAAACCAAATTGCTGGTGATTCTTAATTAAAGTGTGCAACTCTTCTTAATTAATTATGTACCTTTTTTTTCTCTAATGTTTTTGTTTTCTCCTTTGATTCTGTACCATTTTGTGTGTGTGTGTGTATTTGTTGGAATTGAGGGGTATGCACTGGCCATTTCGGGTTTTCGGTTCGGATTTGGTTCAGTTATATTCGGATCCGGTTATTCCGTTTATAGAAAAACTATAACCATTCATTTTTTATATAAATTTTGGTTTGATTCAATTCGGTTATTTTTCAATTCGATTCGGTTCGTATTAAACTCATTTTTTTCCAAAGAAATTGTCGGTTTTTTCCGCTTATTTTTTTTAAAGGAAAATCTAAAAAAAAACACTGAACTTTTAAATTTTAACAAAAAAAAACATTGAACTTTTTTCTATCAAATAAACATTAAATTTTTTAAGTTTGACAAAATAAATAATTAACTCTTCTACCATTGTCAAAATAAACAAAATGACTGACATGACACAATGAGATGCAAACACGTCATATTATTTTACTTAGTTTTTTTTTACAATCGAAAAAAATTCATGTATTTTTTTGGATCACTAAAAAAGTTAAGTATTTTTTCGATAATCGCAGAAAAGTTCATATATTTTTTGGATCACTTAAAAAGTTTAGTATTTTAGATTCATTTAAAAAATTTAATGTTTATTTGACAAAAAATAAAGTTCGGTGTTTTTTTTTATCAAAATTGAAAGTGTTTTTTGGGGTTTTCTCCTTTTTTTTATTGGTTTGATTTTATTTTTTTAGGTTTAAAAAAATCATAACCATTCAGTTTTTATATCGGATTCGGTTCGGTTCAATTATTCGATTAATAGCCGAAATGGCCATTCCATATCGCATCACGCCAATAAATATATCATATATGGAAAGATCACCCAAAATGATTTAGTAGTTAAAACATGGATCATTGATAATTAAATTCGAAGCAAAGTTCCAAGTATTATGTTCACAAATAGCTAGTTGGACCGAGGATGAATTAGTAACATTTTGTGCGCTTTGAATGTCTTTAATGGCAGTGGGAAAAAAGAATTATTGGATATCTTTTTTGCAGATAACGATTATCAGATGTTTTTTTTATAATTCGGAAATTCACCGAAATTTTAGTCCGACTACATCTCACAGAAGACCAGAGAAACCCAGGTGAATGTCCCTCCCCACGTTTCTCAGATGTTGGTTCATGTATCGTAATCATCTCTTAAAATATCTTTTTGTCCATTTGTTTTTGCGAAATGTTAATAAATAATGTTTTGCTTAGAAACAGAATAATCTCTGTTTTTTTTTCTTTTGAAAATACACTTCCATTCAAAACACGTTTTGTTTCAAAGCTCTACATGTATAACCACAAAGATATAATTGCTACATAAAAGTTTGAAAAAAAAACATGAAAATTCTCAAACTTACAATTAGGGGAAAACTAATTTCTGAAGTTACAAATGTTCTTATTTATTTTCGAATTTGAAAAATTGGATACGATAATTTCTAAATTTTATTAAAAAGTGTCATAATCGTCCTAATAATAATTTGGACCAAAATAATGTGCTGAACAATCCTAGGTAATCCATGAATTGTCAAGACAAGTTATATATATCATATATACAGAACTGGATTTAATAGATACGATTTAACAAAATCGGTTCATAATAGTAAAAATTGTGGTTCACACGAAGTTCACCAACCATTTAATCTAATTATATTTTCCAAAAAAACGAAAAAATTCGGATAAATATTCTCTCACGTGTAGATTTGAATCCGAGATAAAAATATGTTTTTGTATATGCTAGCTTACTTTTTTTCGATGAAACTTAGGACAATCACCATTTCGTTATTTTTCATTTTTTAAATAAGAATATTTTGGTTCTTTAATGGATTTAGCTTTGGAAAGATTTGATATTCTAACCGTAGCAATATTTCAGAAGTCTCGGAAAAGGCAGAGGAAGCAACGAGGAAGTCTATTTAAGAGAGGAAAATCTCACCCACACTGGAGATGAGAGAGATGAATAAGACCTTCTTTCTGTCGCATGGGTCTCCGACGCTAAGTATAGACGAGGGCTTGGAGGCCAGGCATTTCCTGCAATCATGGAAGGAGAAGGTTCTTCAGGACAAACCCAAAGCGATCTTGATCATCTCTGCGCATTGGGACACCAAATATCCCGCCGTCAATTCTGCACCTCGCCCTTCTACGATCCACGATTTCTACGGCTTCCCTGATCGCATGTACCAGGTCCCGTTTCTCCTCTTTGCTCTCGGTTGCGAATTGTGGAGTAAATGATTCTGATGTCTGGCCCAACCGATCCAAAAGTTAGGTCTGTTTTCAGCAATTCCATGTTTCACGGTTTGCCTGAACGCATGATCTAGGTTTTCCCCTCCTTGTGCTGGTTTCTACCGTTTTAGTCTATTAGATCAGTTTTTTGTGATGATTTCGATTGATGGGTCTGTTCACCCGGTCTTACTCGATTCCATTCATCGCTAAATCTTCGAATTCACGATTCATGATTCCTAATGCTTCCCTGAAACCGTGAACCAGGTTTATCCCGTATGCTTGTATCTGCGATTTTAGTCCTGTCTGGTCAGGGATTCCGTGTGCATAGTTGATGGGTTTTGATCAAATCGATCAAAGTCAACTCCGTTCTTCGAAATTCTACGATCCAAAATTCCTGTGGCTTCTCCGGAACATGTTCCAGGCCACGTTTCAAGTCCACGATTTCTACGACTTCCCCTGAGCACACGTACGTGCTCGCGTCTAAGATATGGATTCATGGACATGTTTCTGTTTTGCTTTGAACAAAAACACAAGTGCTCTGTTTTAGATTGTCAACAGAGACAAGAAACTGTTTTAAAAAACTTCCAACAACTGTACATTGACAAGAAACTGCTGTTTCCTGTCGCTTGTATCTTCGCTTTTTCTGCTGTTTCTTCTGCATTTAGACTTTGAAGCAAAAGAGCCAACAAAACATGGTGGATAGAAACTAGGATGATGTTCTTTTCAGCGTTAATTTGGGTTTTAGGTTTTTGTATTCTACTTAATTGTTTTGGCTTATTAATTATTGTTGGGTTTTTGTAAGGTTTGGTTATTTTCCAACTACCTATTATTTACGAAATATTAAGATAATATTTAGGAGAAGTTTAGTTTCCTATCATCAGATTCGATACCCAGCTCCAGGATCTCCAGATTTGGCGCAGAAGGTGAGAACCCTTCTGGTGGATGCTGGCTTCGACCGTGTGGGTGTAGACACAAACCGTGGAGTTGATCATGGAGCATGGGTTCCGCTAATGCTGATGTACCCAGAGGCAGATATTCCCGTCTGCCAGCTCTCCGTCCAATCACACGAGAGCGGTGCTTACCATTACAACATGGGGAAAGCTTTGTCGCCTCTGAAACACGAAGGCGTCCTTATCGTCGGTTCAGGAAACGCCACTCACAACCTGAGGGAGCTGAATAGAAATGCCAAAGACGGAATTGCGGATCCTTTGTATCTAGAGTTTGATGAATGGCTTAGAGATGCTCTCCTCGAAGGAAGGTAAGGTTCTATATTACGTTCTTGCTGAAATTTCCGAGTCTGTAAGGCATTACTCGAAGCTTTCAGACCGAATCTTTTGATTACTACTGATTGAGAGGAAGATCGAACTTAAGCGACATTATATGCTCCTTCTTCGTCCGTGTTTCAAACCGTTTTGCTGCAGATATGAAGACGTGAACGACGTTGCAAGGAAGGCACCTCACGTGAAAAGGGTTCATCCTTCGTTCGATCATCTGTACCCATTACACGTCGCTATGGGCGCGGCGGGCGAGAGAGCGACGGCTGAGCAAATCCACACGAGCTGGCAACTCGGCACCTTATCCTACTCTTCTTATCAATTCAACTCTTCCAATTAGACCGTTCATCTGCATCTATGTATTGGATTATTTTCAATAATGATGTGCACCTTCTCCATCAATTTGTATTTTTCTAATATGATCCAATCAGAATTACGGTACAAATTGTCATCTAAAAAATATAGAGAACTGTATTTCTATTATACATAAATTTTGATTGTTTAATCGATATAACTAGAAATACAGAGAAAATCCCATATGACCCCATAAATATTCTTTAATATTCTCAATTCTTACATCATTTTTTAATTTGACAAAAAATTATATATGAATTTAAAATTTTCAAAAATTCTACACAAAATGTGAGAATGTAATACAATTCTCCAAATATCTATAAACCGTGTTAAACTCTATCAATTTCCACATATGTATAAAAGGTGTTAAGCTTCACAAAATAGCGTTTATAGATACATGAGAAATTGCAACATATTTTTACATTTTGTATAGGATTTTGAGAAATTTTAATTTTTTATATAATTTTTTTTCAAAATAAAAATTGGTATAAGAATCGAGAAAATTAACGAAAATTTACGGAGGCATATAAGATTTTACTGAATACAATTAAGAATTTGTGCATTTGAGCCCGGGTCAAAGAATTGACTTTATCTACCTTCACAATTAGAATATGAGGGACCAATAGTTTTTCTTTGGATTCCACTATATATAAGATAATGGACTCTGCTATGATTTTACTCTTTTTTATATTATATTTTATAACTGTTGGGTTTTTTGGAATCCGAATATGTGATTCACTATTATATAATGATTCCATTTTAGAGTTGGTTGACTTACGACATTGCAAGATGTTTGTCAGCATCTGTCAATCTATCGTCGCGATGAAATCCAATAATTTGGTATTCTGTTAGGAATTTAGAGAACTCGTTCTGCCTTGTGTGCAAAGGTTTTAGAGAGAGGCTCGTGATTGTTTTCAAAGCTCTTAGATCTGACCTAAAGTTGTGAAGAGGCGTATCCAAACCCTAACAGATGTTTTCCTTTTATAAACTTTTCCGAAACTCTAATTTCACTAGGAAAATGCTAATTTTTGTAACCCTAAATCAGTCCGGAGTAGGACGAAATCGGTTCAATCTGGGTTTATGAAAAAACCTGAATTTTTGAGCTAGTCCGGTCTAGTCTCATCCCATACAATTCGATCTCGTCCTAGTACAGTCCGATCCCAGCTCAGTTCGGTTTGGTTCGGATTCAAACCAATTTCGAGCTTGATTCGCTCTAGACTCAAAACGTGAATTGGTCCGATCTAGATCTAAATCGAATCGGTCCAAGTCCATATTTGTTTTTATTTTTTTTCTTGTTTCGATGATCACACTTTGTTGACTCATCAACATGGCAGTAAACCTGAAATCTAATTTCGGTCTATAAATTATAAATGGTTTTTACCAAAACGTTACTATTACCCGCAACGAATAGAGTTAGAGGTAATATAACAAAAAATCAGCAATAGCTCAAACGATGATTTTTTTGTCACACAATATCATTTGTTGAACAAAATGCATAGAAGTAGTCTCCTTACTAAACTCGATTGCTTATCTCATTCACTAGGCAAACAATAAGTAATAGATGATAATCATCCAAAATGCGATCACACATTTTCCATAGTCTTTCTCATTCGAGGGGTTCAACGATATATCTCTCTCGTTCACAAAGAGGCAAATCTCATCTTGACTATCTATTACTCTTTATATGACTCACCACATGTATGAATAATATTATTATAATCATCTGGTTAAATAAGACGTTTGAAGCAGACAAAGCACACTATTCATTCATGTTCGATACCATTACCATCTGAGGTATGAGTATAAAAAAGCGAACCATTACATGATATTTAAATTATTACTCATGTCCATATATCAATCTCATCATAATGGTCATTCAGCTTCTTGTTCCAAACAAGCACAGATGATCGTCATATGTATCTAATACACAAGAACCAAGCAATACATGTGCCAAGCAAACAAAGTTTGCGACAACATTTCGGCTTAGCGCGCTCTAGCTGCGTATTCAACACTTGTCCAGTGATCAATCCTCGAACATATTCTCGGGTATGCGGCTGATTTCTAATCAAATTCGTCCGAATTTCTTTTGGAAAGGCTCTGGAATAACTTACTCGTTATAGTCCATTTTAGCTCTGTAACCCGTGTTTATGCCTATTTGATGTCGAAATATTGATTTGTTCCTAAAAAATCACCAAAAGGAGGGAATGAAACAATATGCAACCCAATTATATTCTATAACGGGTTTGTATATCTTACCGATAAAAGTTATATGCACATTTCAATGTTTATGGTTTAGATTTATTCTAAAATCGAAATCTTTAGATGAATGAGTGAATTTATGTTATTCATTAATTATAATCATAGTAAAAAAAGGTTTATTATTTTCTCATATTTCTCCGTAAAAAATCATTGAAACGGGAAACCAACTACGAAACAAAAGGAGGAACCAGTTTCACGGTTTTGACAATTTAATCTCTTTATTAAAAAACATAAATACGGCAGATAATATTTGTCATGTGGACTTGTTGACACGTGTCCATTTCCGCCATTTACACAAACGCAATCCTAAGTCGGCACATCGGTAAATAGGTGGAGTCGGGTTTGATGGGTGCATTATGTTAACTTTCAGCAAGAAAGTGGCTTAACAATGATAACGCAATCTATCCTTTTTCTTTTTCTTTTTCTTTTTTAAATGCAATCTGTTCTTTGAATATATACACAGTACAATTACGGCCATATATTATTTATATTCAACCAAAAAAATTATGGCCCTATAACTTTGCTCGGTTGTCTAGAATATGATGTCACTCTATATTACCAAAGCAATCAGGCTACACACTCTAATAAGATTTTATATATATATATATATATATATGTATATGATTTTATTTTGTTTTTTAAAATATCTAAAACAGCATAATTATATTTTTTTTAATGGTAACTATGATGTAATTTGCGTAACTATTGTAACCTAGTATTTTGAAATGTTACGGACACAAATAATTTTTTTAAATACACCATAGACCTAAATTGTAAACCATAACATAATGGTAAGCATATCTTTTTATCATTGCATTTTGCTATAACGTATAGTTTGAATTATTTATTAACAGTTTCATTAACTTTGTTAAAACAGTGTTGTTTCGAGACATTCTCCCTTTTGCTTATATAGTGAAGGGATATTATTACCAAAAAAAAAAAAACAATTGAAGTAATATGATAGAGTAAAATAATTTCTTGAGGGTGTTCGTCAATGTTGACGTTCCACTAGATTTTGTTGTAATTGTAGAAATTTGCGGAATGATATTTTTATTGATAGTCAAAATAACATATAAATAGATGAAAGTCTTACATTTGAATAAGTAAAGTATACATAATAATAAATATTCCTAAATATATATTTTCCGGATTTGATAAGATCTTCATTATACGATATATCTCGTAATATTCTTCAAGATCCGGTATATCTCAACAGTAATAACCAATTGATGGGTATAGTTTGTAATTTAATTTTCAATGTTTATAGTTTTGAGTTTTATATTTTGAGTGTGTGTGTATATATATATATATATATATATATATAAACTACATCTATTTTTACATATGGCCTAAGATTTGGTGTCTGATATTGCAAGCAAAGCAAAGCATTAAACAAAACGGCGATTTGATTACATTATCCTATAATTTCCTTGCCTTCATGTTTGTCCAACGAAATAACAATTGCTCTATAGTCACCAAAACATGCTCAGCCTCTAACTCCTATACATTCTTCAATATTTTATATATTTGTGTGTACGGTTCTCTCATTTGCTTCACTTCTAAATTCCACAATTGTAAAGTATTCACGTTCTCTTGCCTTATTTCTCAAGAACCTTGTAGCTTATATATCACTTGTTCTCTAGGAAAAACCACAGATACCCATTTGAAGAAACGTGTGATCGATGATCCATTCTAACCCCGAGAAAGAGGAGACGATGGGCATCGATGTCACGAGTGTATCGCCTCGCTTAGAGGATCGCGAAAGCGAGAAGAGGACGGTGATGATATCAAGGTACAAAGAATGCATGAAGAACTACGCAGCGTCGATGGGACGGCACGCGACAGACGGGTGTGGAGAGTTCATGCCTTGTGAAGACCCATCCTCGGATTCCTACAAGTGCTCGGTCTGTGGATGCCACCGCAACTTCCACAGGAAAGAAATCCAGTGTTCAGACTGCTCGTACTCGTCTTTTACTCAACATAATTGCCACCATGCTCAATTTCCTTCAGCACTTTTCGACAGAAGCGACCATCATGCAAATGGGCTATCGACACATTCACATTACAACATCTTGAGGTGCCCTAACAAGTCAGGTAGCTCAGATTATAATGAAGAGCAAGACGGACAAGAGAAGGAGGTTGCACCGAAGCAAAAGAGGAGAATCAGGACGAAATTCACGCAAGAGCAAAAGGATAAGATGCAAAGTTTCGCGGAGAAAGCCGAGTGGAGGATGCAGAAGCTGGACGCGTCGACTGTGGAGCTGTTTTGCCAGGAGATCGGGATCGAAAGGAGGGTCCTTAGGGTTTGGATGCACAACAATAAGTACCATTTTGCTAAGAAATCGGATGAAGCAAACTAGACTCTGTCTATCATCTTTTATCTTGGGGGGTTTTGTTTGTTCCATCAAATTCCTGAAAAATACTTTCTTTTATGTTTTCCCACTTTGGATTTTAACTGAATTGTTTCGCAAGTACCTGTTTTTAACTTCGGAATAAGATTAACATAATTACGTTCCGTTCTAATTCGGTACAATTCTTTTTTATAGAACCGAACAAACCATTTCCGAAACTAACCGTACAAATATCGAATCGAACCCGACAAATACCGAACCAAAATACGAGTTATCCACCAATATATATATGTAAATATTAGGGGTGGCTGTTTAGGGTTTCGGTTCAGTTTCGGTTATTTTGGTTATAGAAAAATTATAACCATTCGATTTTTATATAAAATTCGGTCCGTTTCGGTTCGGTTATTTTCTGGTTCGGTTTGGTTTCGATAAAAAAATTATTTTTCAAATAAATTATCGGTTTTTTGGTTATTTTTTTATTCGGTTCGATTATTCAGTTTTTTTGGATTTAAAGAAATCATCACCGTTCGATTTTGATATCGGAGTCGGTTCAAATACGGTTATGTCTTATTATGTTCGATTCGGTTCTATTATTCGGTTAATAACCGAAATGACTACCCCTAGTAAATATTATGGTTTGGTATTTATTTGGTATTCATATAACGATATTGTTCTAAACCGAGCCGAATCGTTTAACATTCAATTCTAGTTAATTTGGTACAATTTTGTAAAACCAAAGAAACTGTTCTCGAACCGAACCGCTTGAATACCAAATTGAAAACCGAAAGGCCTATCCCTGGAACAAAGCAAGCACAATGGAGGTTTCATTTGTCTATATTGAATTGAATGTCCGAATTTATTAGGGCAAAAGAGATCAGTCGGTTTCCCATGAGGTCTGAAGAGTACTTGTACTAGACAACACTCCATGACATTAATTAAGTTCCACCATTGGTACGTACAATGAAAGTTTACATGCAGACACTAAACAGAAAATCTTATACAAACACTCTTAAATACGCACGTAATAACCTAGTTAATCCTACGACAATTCTGACGGATTTCACCCTGAGAGCCGTCTTTCACATCAAGCATGCTCATCTTCACCATGGCCTGTTGGAAATCAAAGAAAAACCTGGCTTGGTTGAAGGAATAACCGTTGACGATGTTCCGCGTTCTCGGGCTGTTGTACAGGGTTTGGTCCGAAAACAGGACCCCGGATTTCCTTTGGAGCGCGTTGAAGTAGAGGCTGTCGAAATCATTGCGCGTGTCGTCGAAAGGCTGCTCGGCGTTGTCTCCCGCATTACATGTCCTAGACAATGTCTTGGCGAATTCGGAGTCCATGGTGGAATCTGTGTTGGCTAATCTTGGCTTGAAGGAGGAGCATCGTGCAGCTCCTAGGGTATGTGCCCCTGAGATTTTCGCAATACAATCCAACAAAATCTAAGCCATACATCGACATCATTCTCAAAAATTATATATTATAAAATGTCTATAGAATAATAACGTATAACGTGTAATGGACTCATTACCAGATAGAGCGACAAGATCCTGCACAGAGAAGCCACGCTGACCAAAAGTCTGGATGAGTTGAGAGGCGTTCAAGAACGGCGACGGCAGATTTCTTGTGTCTTCGATTTTAGACCTTCTTCCATCCTTTCTTCCCATCGGCATGTCGTAAACTGGACCGCCGGTCTGCACAACGAAATCCCTCAAAATATTCATGAGTTTCTTCGGAAAAAGTTGTATGAGTGGCAGTATAATTAAAAGGAATGGTATGCATACCCAAAAGACAGCATCTCTTGCAGCCATAGCGACAATGTCGGAACAAGAGACAACTCCAGGGCACTGATTCTCGATCTCCTCTTTCGCGTCGTCTATGATCTCATAGCCCCGCAGAGAGAGGTTCGCAGGCGAATCCTTCTCTGCTGTGTTGTCTTTCGTGGAATCCAGCAGAATCGACGCGTCGCATCCCTGCATCACCAAATCTAATGTTCATTCATTGATCGATATCATTTTCCTCAGTATTGAGATGGAGGCAACGTGACTCGAGGATTCACAGCAAACTTTTCGCGGACGTGGATACCATCTTCAAGGAGGTTGGCAGAATTTTCCGTAACAAAATGGCAGCGGTCACCCAAACGTGGGTGACCAAGTGGTGTGGGAAAGCACAAAAGTGCTTCCTTAACCACGGTTCGAACCCCATTTTGGGTATCACCATAATCAAAAAACGGCAACGGTACGTGAGTAAAATCCATACGCTACATAGCTTGGCATCGAATCTTTGGTTTCGAAGTTTATAGATCACTATATTGGTTACAGCTTTGGTTGCGGGTTTCTGGTTTTTGGATATATTTTCGATGTAGGGAATATTTGCTTTGTACAAGACATTTTGTGAATAAAAAGGAAATCTTATTAAAAAAAAAATGGAAAACCCCGACCAAATAAAAAAATTTGTAAGAGAGAGAGTGGACAGGGGGAAGAGGGACGAACCTCGATGAAACAGTCGTGGAAGAACATACGGACAAGACCGGCGGCGAGAGTTGGGTCCTTTTGGAGTGCGCTGTCGACAGTGTTCCTCACAATCTGTTCGGCGAAAGGGCAATTCATGATGTAGTAATTCATGCTCAACCCCTTCGCGTTGAAAGGAAAGCCAACCATCACTTGCACCACGAAAATCACGCCCAATAATACATTTGCCTTAACCATCTTATTCAAATTTATACGAAATTTCACTAACATAACAATCGTAGAAATAAATGGCGTTTAAGGTTAAGAACGAATTCATGTTTGATGTGTGTGTGTGTATATATACACATCATATGATTGATTTGTGGTTGGTCCCACGATGAGTTGGAAACCGATAAAAGTTTGGTCTAGTGGTCTCTCTCTTGATTATTCTATGGTGATGAATGTTGATATTATTTTACTATTTCTAAGTACTAGCCTAATATGCATGCATCTGCATGGAAAGTGGCACGTACAACATGCACAAACTTTATAGTACAAACAACTATCCATTGTTTAACCAAAATATGCACTAACTATTTGACCGTCAGTAATATAATTAAATAAATAATTGCATGCACTCACTAGAGCAAACGCATATAATTTAAAAGCTCTATAGGTGATATTGAATTCACCAAATGAACGGATAAATTTTACTAATCCACCAAACTTCCACAATGAAAAGATAAGTAATAGACATCAAGAAGTGTTAGTGAAATAAAAAGTCGCAATTTACGATAAGATATTTAATGTCTGTATCAAATTATATACAGTGAATAATATCTTTTATGTTTTTGCCAAAAAGGTCTTTTCCACAGAACATGCACAGATAAATTTTTTTTTTTTGAAACGCTCACAAAATATGTTTTATGTATAGATCGATTAATATTAGGGTCGTTACCTAAAATCCAAAAGATGTAACTGGAACCCGTAAAATATTCTGCATGTTGTACGTGCCACTTTCGTCAACAATTTTGATTTTATGTGTTGGTTTGATATCCTATGATAATTTACGATTTGAGAACTAAACATTTTATACTGATTCATTTGATGAATGCTAAAGAAGTGTGTAAACCGATATTCTACGTTTCAATCATATAGTTTGTAAATAAATTATATATGGATATTCCTGAATCGTTTGGAACGATTCTAAACTCTCTAGTTGTTTATCATCGTATAAACGACGATAAATTAAAACTAGCATGATGTGTAATATATGATCATATAGATTTGAATGAGATTGTCATATAAAAACGTGAGACTTGTAGCCATATACGGCGTTAGGTTCGCTTTTGTCTTGCACAAATAGATATTATTGTACATATTTTAGAAAAGTGAAATACAAAATCCTTTACAAAATAAAAAATAAAAAATAAAGAAATCTATTTCTGTGTGCTAAAACGTAAACCCTAAAACCTAACCTAACCTAACAGTGATGTTAGAGTTTGGTTATATGTGTGTTCACTTGTTTATGCAATAAAGTTTGCTAGATCTAAACGTTTTAACGAGATCTATAATATATAAACCCCAAGAAATTCAGATTTGTGAATTCATAGATTGTAAACTTGAGATCTGTAAATTACAGACTTGTGGAACGTTATTGTTTTTGGGTTTTCATTGAACCGAATCGAACCGCGACCATTAAGGTTTATTTTGGAAACCCCAATTCGGCTGGTTTTGGTCCCCTTTCGTTCCACACTAGATTCAAGTTTTGGTTTGTTTCTTCTCGAGATTTGATCTCGGTTTAGCCATACCACTTAAAATTGGGGATTTCTGTTTGGTTTAGATAATTTCCCCGAACTGTTCTTGGTATTATTGGTCACGGTTACTCTTGAGATTTGATCACGATTTATGGCTTTAATATATTGATTGCAAGGAAGTCAAAGTGGTAGATTATTGCGCTATGCAGCTGGATTCCATTACAAGTTCCTGCTTTCGGATGTATCACTAAATTGTGTATCGGTCCAATTTTAATTTTATCATTAATTAAATTGTAGAAGTCATGTTAGGGCCACACGTGAAATTTCACTTTATTGTTAAGTGCTTTCAACGCGGAGTGTTCCACTCACTTCATGTCCACCACTTCTTTTATTTATTTGTTTGTTTTTTCTCTTAGCCATACGCGTTGATGCACGAACAGGTTCTAAAGTGTTGTCTCTACGCATTTTTTGTCCGAGAGTTAAGCAAAGAATATTATAATTAGAGTTTTTCTTATGATGGTCAGACTTAAAACGTGAAGAGGGTATTTATCTAAATTTCTCCGATCTTTGTTAGAGATGTAGTTAGAATCAAAAGTTTGAATTTTCGGATTATAAAAAAACTCGAAATAACCTATCCTTTTGATATAAAAAAAACTCGAAATAAATCCATGCACGCGCGCGTGGAATGAGATTGGAGTTTGAGAAATATTGAAAAGTGGAATGGGATTGCTCTTCTTTAGCTGGTTCGGTCGCTGTTCGCTATGAGTTGTTTGGATCCGAACTAGTGTTCGGTCGTTAGTCCCTAATGTGCAAACAAGGGCGGATCTACATGTATTGGTGTGGGTCCATATATTTAGCTCAAAAAAATTTATTTACTTGTAATTTTTACAAAATTTTGATAAAAAATATTCAAGGCCCCATCTAAGTTTTTGTTTTGCCCCCTCTTCTCTCATTATTTTTTTCTTTTCTTTTTTATTTTTTTTCTAAATATTAGGTCTTGTGACGGTTTTTCCTCTTAATCTTTGTTTTCATCTATTTTTTGCTTTTTTTTCTCTCAATTTTCTAAAACATTTATAAATCTAATATTAAACATAATACAAAAATAAAGAAAAATTAAATTAAAATATATAAAGTTACGTGTTTTTATCTAGTTTGTTTTATCAAAAATTATATATTTCAGATATTATAAATAAAATTATTATAGATAAAATTTAAAAAATAAAAATTGTAAAATTTAATGATAAAATGTAAATTTTGTTTTGATAGTATATTTTATTATTTTTTTTATAAAATAATTTAGGAGTGAACGTGTTGGTACGATTTTTTATAGTTGAATAATACAAAATCGAACATCAAAATATTTTTTTAATCCAAACGATATTATTTTTAGGAAATTGAATTTTCTAAAACGAACCGAATTTAAAAAAAAATAGAAAAAAGACTTTTTTTATAAAGAAAATTTCCAAAAAAATCATCCAATTGAGAGATAGCTATCAAATTCGTCACGAATTTTTAAAATATTCATATTCATACTCAATTTGAAATTTTTTTCTAAAAAATCATTTGAAATTTAAATTTTAATAAAATCATCATCGGAACACGAATTAATTTTGCCACGTAGACAGAAAATATCTATGTGGTGCTTAGTGGCATGTACGACCTCGCCATGTAGGATACACGTCATATTAATAATAAAAAATTATAATAAATGGCAAAAAAATTGTAAAAATTAAATGTGAAAAAAATGCAAAAAATTATAAAAATTGTAAAAAATTATACTTTTTTTTAATTGTAAAAAATTGTAAAAACTGTACAACAATTATATAATTTTTTTTAAATCTCTACTCCATCCCGATTTTTACAATTTTTATTATAATTTTTACAATTTTTTACAATATTTTTTTTTAAAATTTATATTTTTTACATTTGTTTTACAATTTTTACAATTTTTGAAAATGTTTACAATTATTTACAATTTTACATTTTTTATAATTTTTAGAATTATTGTAGTTTTTTCACAATTTTTTACAATATTTTTACCATTTTTACAATTTTTTATTATTAATGTGACGTGTTTCCTATGTGGTGGGGTCTTACATGCCATGTAAACACCACGTAGGCACTTTTTGACTACGTGACAAAATTAATTCGGTTCCGATAAGGATTTTGTTAAAATTTAAATTTTGAATGATTTTTTAAAAATTTTTTTGAAATTCAGTATGAATACGAATATTTTAAAAATTCGTGATGAATGTGCTAGTTATCTTTCAATTGAATGATTTTTTTTGAGAGTTTTCTAAAAGAAATATCTATTTTTTTAATAAAAACCGAAACTGAACCGAACTGAATATGATATAATAACCGATTTGTAAATATTATTCTAAAACTGAAAGAATCGAACCGATCTATTTTCAAACCGGACCAGAACCGAATACCAGAACGTTCATCTATTGACTATTACCCCACTAACATCATTTGACATCGAGCATTCATCGCCCATTTTTGGGCGATTCATAGATTTGCTATGGATAGATCGTTTTGAACCATAGAGAACGATCACTTTGTTCTTTGCGTTGAAAACTTAGACAAAAGATATCGAAGGTTCGGGCATGAACTCACCCAAATCTCTGTCTTCAATTCTTACTCTCCATGGTCATAAACTTCCTCCAATCATTGACAAGCAGACAAGCGTCTCATATTCCGCCACGTGGCGGCCATAGAAAATGCCACATCGACGCCTACTCATAAAAGCCCCCATTTATCTTTTTCTCTTCTTCCCGGAACATAGCAAAACGGTGATCCGGAGCTCGACGGCGGAAGGAAAGAAAAGAATTGGAATAAATTATGCGAAAGGTTTCGCAGATATCTGGTATTCTCCGTCTAGGATTTTCTCAGAGAAGACCCTCTTGTGGATACAATCTCTTCATCCGTTCGTATTGCGGCTCTGATCCTTCCAAACCATCGGGTACTGTCTCTTGATATTACTTCTTGTACGATATACCTCTCGCGGCTCTGATCCTCGGATGCGTTTGTGGGTTGATTTTGCTATGTTTTGGTATTTTCCACCGGGCTTTCAATCCTTTATTGAAATTCCGATCATTACTTGCACTGGGCTTGAGGTGATTTTGTGAGGTTGCTTCTCTTCTTATTAGTAATTCGAAATCTGCTGGTAATGGGTCTGTGAAAATATTCCCTCTTTTGCAGGTCCATTGGCGCACTACAGTAAACTGGTGCAGCAAGGGAGGCTGCGACATGACCCGTACCAAGAAAAAGTGGCTGTTGCATTGGAGAATCTGCTGGGAAGATTGGAGCAGTTTGAGAAAGACATGGAAGAATATCATGTGTAGTTTCTCAGAGATTTTCTGTCTGATTTGGGAAAAAAACTTTAGCATTTGTGTTAAGGGTTTGTGAATCTGTGGAAATTGTGTTGCAGGTGAAGTTAGCTGAGTGGGAGAAGAGAAGGGAGGAAGAGAGACGAAGGCTTCTGGTGGAAGAAGCTGAGAAGAAGCAAGAGGATGGTATGTGGGCATCAGTGAACAAACAGGGTAAAATGCTTTTGGGTAGATGGGTTTTAGGGTGAGGTTTCCAATCTTTCTTATATCGGTTTGATGGATAGTTTCTTTAGACATCATCGTATCTTGTTCTTGTTCGTTGCTGTGTTTCGTATCAGTAATTTTCTCGGTGAACCTTGTTTCATATTGTTTCTAGTTGAAATGATTCTTTTTCTTTTCCTGCTTCAGGAGGAGACAGATGAATGTAGAACCTGGCGTGGGTAAGTGGGTTTCGTACCTCAACCGAGAGAGAAGATTGGACTCGCTTGTCGGTTCTCGTCCCAGTCCACCTTCTGCTCCTAAAGGATTATATATCTATGGAAATGTAGGGACCGGTATGTTAACAGGCTGATACATGCTTATGGGGAGGAATATATTAGCTGAATATATTTAGTGTGTGTAAAAATGTTGAAACGATTGGTTATTCCATGCAGGGAAGACAATGGTGATGGATATGTTTTATGGTGCGACTGATGGGATCATCAAACATCGCCAAAGGTTTCACTTTCACAAGGTGAGCTTTTAGTGTTTTATTATATAATGTTAGATGATAATTGCATTACCGCGGTTCGAATGAATTCTCTGATATTCCATTCTTTTAGGCTATGCTGAAAATTAACGAGCAAATGCATAAGTTCTGGGAAGAAAACAAGGCAGAAAAAACCCTGCAAACCAGCATATCGAGCTGGATATTGAACCTTCCTGTCGATACAAAAGTTAAGGAATGGTTAGCTGCTGAAGAAAGGTATAAGCAGGAAATTCAAATGAAACATATTCTTCCCGCTGTGGCGGATAAGTTTCTCGTCAATCAACAAGCAAGTGAAAAGGGAGCGAGCCTCTTATGTTTTGATGAGATACAGGTAAGTAACTAAGCACATGGAATTGTAAAATTCTTCATCTTTTGTTTGCATCGGTCATTACCCATTATTCATTGCAGAACCCAAACTAGATTTTAGCGATCAGAATGCAGCTTGGTTGGTTCTCGTAATACTTTCTCTCGGGTCTCGAATTTTTTGGCAATCAGTACTAGTGGCTTTGTTTCTTGCGGCCTCAATAGAAGGTTGTTATTTAGTAGTCATTCGTCTTGTGATTCGGATTTCTTGCCTCTTCTGTTACAGACTGTTGATGTCTTTGCTATTGTGGCCTTATCTGGAATCATGAGCAGATTGTTGACTACTGGAACTGTTCTTGTTGCCACCAGTAACCGAGCACCGAGGGACTTAAATCAGGTATCTTTTCATCTTATTCTGTATCTCGACTCGAGAAAAATCTTCCTTTAACCGACTTTTTGCAAAGCGATTTTTGCGGGGCAAGTATTTTGATCGAGTTCTTGAACATAAATTCTCGTGGTTTGTGCCCTTTATTATTAGTTTACTCTCGGATTATGCTCTTGCAGGATGGAATGCAGAAGGAGATTTTTGACAAATTTATCACGAAGTTGGAGAAGCATTGTGAGATAATCCCAATAGGAAGTGAAGTAGATTACCGCCGACTCGCAGCAGAAAAATCCGTCGAGAAAGTGAGGAGATAAATGTGATTCCAGACCCTTTTACATTGTTTTGCATCGAAATTTTTTGCAAAGTCATTAACTTTATGTTTAGTCCAATTAATCGGAAACTCACATGCTCGGTTCTAGGTTCACTACTTCTGGCCTTCGGGGGGCACTGCTCTGCAGGAGTTCGAGAAAATGTGGACTCAGATCACTGACCAATCCGGCGGAAAAATCACTTCTGCAATTATCCCGGTGATGTTTGGGAGGTATTTCCGAAAATCATACGATTTTTGTAATCTCTTAATCTTTTCTTTCTGGGGCTTAGAATACATTTTCTCATGTATTCAGAGTGATGAAGGTACCTGAAAGCTGTAATGGGGTGGGACGGTTCACATTCGAGTATCTGTGCGGTCGCCCGGTATTTGCTTTCATCTATATGCTTTGTAGTAGTTTTCCGATGATCTTTGGTAAAGTATTGGACATTGTAGTTGCTGTAGATTTGTTGATGTTGTTTCAGGAAAGATGAGATTCTGTTCGAGGTGGTGATTTTTTTTCGACACTTAATGGAGTTTCTTTGTATTATACTGCTTCAGGTCGGTGCAGCTGATTATATTGCCGTCGCCGAAAACTATCATACCGTCTTCATATCTGACATTCCTGTCATGAGCATGAAAATACGTGACAAGGTAACCGCAACGAGATGGTTCTGAGTTAGAATTGTGTTTTTCAGGCAGTAATCTTGTGTTTGGTTTCGGTGTTTCAGGCACGTAGGTTCATTACCCTCGTTGACGAGCTATACAACCACCATTGTCGCCTTGTTTGTTCCGCGGAAGCATCTATAGACGAACTGTTCCAAGGAACCGAAGAGGGTACCCTCTTTGATCTGGAAAGGTAAAACACTGCTCCACAAATAGTAATGGGCGTGGGTTGGATCAGAATTTTCCAGTGTACTTAGCATTCGGGTATATCGTTTGAAATATCCGATTTCTGTTTCGTGAGGGTCGAGTACCCAGCAAACTCTGGGTAAGGCGGAGAGCCAAGACGAGGAAAGAGATAGTCTCTCCCTTTCCTCCTTAGCTCGGGTTGTTGTAGCCTTGTAGGCTGAATGAAATCTGTACCCGAATCCGAAGGTTGGATTCTCGCCATCGATGGGTCCGTACCCGGTCCCACTGGCGGATGAGTACTCTTGGGTCGGTGGTACTCACAATCTCGAGTTCCTGTATCCATCCCTACCCGAAAATGCTTAAAACTTGGTTGTCCAAACCCAAAAAAATTAAAATTACGAATTCTGTCTTGACAAACCGGACATGCAGTTTCCAGTTTGAAACCGAGACAGAAGATTCGAGACTGAGGCGAGACGTGCTAGCGGAAGGTAGCGTAAGCGCAGCTGGTGCACCATCTTCCATTGTTTCGATGCTTTCGGGCGAAGAAGAGATTTTTGCATTCGCCCGAGCTGTAAGTCTTTTCTTCCGCATCTCTATCCGCTCTATACGACAAACTTAACGATACGAAACTCGAACGGTGCAGGCGTCGCGGTTGATGGAGATGCAGACTCCAATGTACATTGAAGGAGTTCGTTTGTCGCATGCTTACTTCCAACACCAAAAGCCACAATAAACGACAAATACAAAAGGGTCACAACAGTGATGCTCTTATTCATCAAACTCTTCTTCATATGATTTCACTTTCCTTGCAAATATGATTCCGTCTTTGCTTTACATCCCATTGATTCATTGGGAATCTTAGTATTTATATTCTTCATCATCATGAACAATAATGATGCTCTTGCATCGGCTAAGTGACAGTTTCAAGAAAGAGAATCCTTGAACTTTTCTTTTCCTCCATAGCATTGTCTTGTGTTCCGCCATTGCTGTGTTCTCTCTTTTGTTTTTGCTTTTAAAATTTTTTAATGTTATTTCCAAGTTGGACACAATTTATCATAATAGATACGGATTTTAATAATATAAATAGATATATTGATGGACATACGCATAGGAGATACTTGGAATTGTTGGAATCAAGGGTTGCAGGTAGGGGTGGATTTTTGGGTCAGTTTTTTCGGAACCATATCGAACCGAAAAATACGGTATTTTTTTTTATACGAACTGTCCAAAAATTTCGAATGGTATTAATATTAGAAAAATCGAATTTCTCGAAACCGAATTGAAATCTAAAAAAACCTAAAAAATCGAAAAAAAAATTTCTAAGAAAAATATAATATAATAATCGATTGATACATATTTTTTTATAAAATTGAAAGAATCGAATCGATTTATTTTCGATACGAATCGAATACCATATTTTGTTAGAAATCGTATTGTCATCATGTATATATACTAATTTTTATTTAGTATTAAGAGCATTTTGTTATTTATTTTAATTTTTTTATATTTAAATAAATTTATAAATTTAAATAAATTTATAAATTTAAAAAGCATCATGATATTTTTTATAATTTTTCTAAAGATTTTATTGAATTCTACAAAATAGTTTCAAGGGTTTGGGGGCGGCTTATACGGAGCGGAGGTGTATGTGATTCTTAGGCTAAACTTGCATGTGAATATTGTATGTACCTACCACCAAGCAGACATATTTTAGGTAGACCAACCACAAACACATTTTATTACAGACTAATTAATTAATTAATCATATTCATTCATTTTATTATATGTTTTTCACTCATATTCATCATGTTTTTCTTTGGTAGGTGGTATTTGATGCTATTCTCTTTTTATAAATATCATGTCTACTTGGAAAATAAAAAATGGATACTGATGGTCCAATTAATTCTGTGTCCAATGTCCATAATGAATTTTTTCTATCCGATTTCTTCATAAATTTTTGGAATTCATAGAATATAAACACAAAAGCTCAAATATATAAAGGATATTCGCTCTAAATAGTGAATTCCTTAAACGTCGAAAGATATTAATGAGAAAATTAAAACATAACTGGAATTATATTTTTATAAACTTTGAACCTTCATGATGTATATAGAAGGGTATCTAATATTACAGGTTCATAAAATAGCTTTAAATATAAAATGTACAAAATAGAATATAACAATGTCACCATATTCATGAACGTTTTTAATATTATCTTAGATTTCATAAGCAAACTTATATAAATAATGTAAATCTTTAATAAATTTGAAATAGAGATCACATACAGTTATGTATATTACATAAATATATACATGCTATAATTATATAGAGTGGATGTGATATTAATATGTTTTAAATGTGATATTTGTTATTCGATCCTCCAAGATGGTAAAAATTTTGTTATTTGGTTTACACACAAAAAAAAATAAAAGAAATACTGGAGGAAATATATATGCGTATGTATATACGGTCAGAGGTCGGATTTTGACCGAATATATATATATATATATATATATATATATATATATATATATATATATATATAT